TTGATCCAAACAGGTTCCTATTCTCTTACCAACCAAAGCCTCTTATTTTTCTGCAATTCGTTGTTCGATGGAAATGGCAGCGATGCACTTGAACTAATGTAACTTGTTTTTAAAATCTCAAATTCTCATGCGCACATCGGGAACTACGCCATGTTTGGTTTCATATCTATTGTCATCGTATGACATCCACTTGAAACAGGATCAACCGTCCAATCACATAATCAAATTTTCATATGCTCGGTGATATGTAACACAGCTCTTATATACTTTAATCGTTTATGCATAATTCTTTTTCGTTCTTCCAAAGAGAAGACGGAATGAGACACCGGCAGGCAAGCGATCTTTTTGCCGGTAACACATCCTTCCTCAACAAAGAAATAATTCTTCTATCGTCAATTCCTATGGTGTATTCCAAAGTACCAACAACGACAACAGCTTCAACGACCCCATCGCCTTATTTGGCTCAAGCAGCATCACTACAAGACGAGCAGTCGCGCATAAGGAATGCCTTCGCGGCCTTGGATCATGACAGAGACGGCTACATAGACACCCGTGATTTATTGAACGTTTATTCAAAGACTTTTTACGGAAAGGAAGGCTTATTTATCGATGAAGTAATATCCCTCGAAAAGATAGATTATCTATCGATTATCGACTTTAAAAGAATGAACTTTTGCAGTCCATTCATCTTAGCGTACCACCAGACTATTTTGGAATAAAGCTCGACTAATTCCCCTAATTTGCTGCTACATTTTAAAAGGCAATTGTCAATGCTTTGATCGATCTGGCATCGACTCCATCACCTACCGCTTCACCCACCTCGCCCTCCTCGAACAACATCTCCTTTGAGCAATTTCGTCAATTGATCAATACATATAACATAAATATTCTTCCATTGAGTACCGATCTTGCCCAATCTCAGAAGTCATTGGAAGCGTTGTTGAGTGATTTGGTGAACCTGGGTAAAAAGAAAGAGACTCTGGCGAAACAGCAGCTGGTGATGTCTGAACAACAGGAAGCAGGGAACAGCAGACCTACTTTATTGACATGGCAATATTGGACGTCTAGATTCTCGTTGACGGCTGTTAAGCATCTTATAGCTGGTGGAGTTGCTGGAGCTGTGAGCAGGACGGTGGTGAGTCCATTGGAGCGAATGAAAATCCTGTTTCAGGTAAGTGTGAGACATGAGCAAACGAATTCAGACGCATTATCGTTTGGTTAAGAAAGTTGATATCAAAACTTTGCACACAAAATAAACTATGCTTAGGTCCAAGGGCCTGGTAATACGTCATATCACGGGATAATACCAACACTCAAAAAGATGTGGCAAGAAGAAGGCCTTGTCGGATTTCTTCGCGGAAATGGGACAAATGTAATTCGCATTGTTCCATACAGTGCCACACAGTTTGCTGCATATGAAAAGTATAAACGTGTAAGTAATAAGATACACGACAAAGTATAGTATGTAGCTATGATCGGCTATGTACGTATGTATTTAGTATACAGTCTAATCGTCATTAACCCGATTCGCATGTAGCTTCTCTTGGAAGAAGGTAAAGAAGAACTAGATGCAAAGCGACGTTTGACGGCGGGTGCGCTAGCAGGAATAACATCTGTCACATGCACATATCCACTGGATCTTGTGCGGACCAGGCTCTCAGTACAGTCCGGTACTATTGGTCGAAGAGAAGTGCAAAAAATGCTGCCAGGCATTTGGACAACTATGAAGCATATCTACAAAACTGAAGGGGGTCTGTTTGCATTGTATCGAGGGTTATCACCCACACTCGTGGTATGTGTTTTCTAATATTGATTCACAATATTGCCTGCAGATATATGACGTGTAATTTTAAATTATTTTTTTGTCTTTAATATTTTCAAGGGTGTGGCTCCGTATGTTGGATTGAACTTTCATGCGTACGAGGTGCTTCGAAAGTATTTTACGCCTGCGGATC